GGGGGGGGTGGGGGGAGCCGTTTGTAGTGATTTTTCAAACGACCCTTTCGAGTTTGACCTATCCAATAGTAAACTAGAATCAAATGCAGCTGACATCCTTCGGAGATCGCTTTCGTGACTGACTTGCTTACATTACACTACAATACACTACACTACACTACGCTACGCTACGCTATGCTACGCTACACTACATTACATTACATTACAATGCATGCATACATACATACATACATACATAAAAACGTACATACCTACCTACCTACCTACCTGCATACATACATACATTCTTACATACATACATACATACATACACACATGCATGCAAGCATGCATACATACACACATACATACACACACACATACATAGAAACATACATACATATATACATACATTCTTACATACATACAGTACATGCATGCACGCAAGTGAGAGGTTCAAGCTGGTTCCCGCAAGAAATCCAGCTGGTGCGGATCCCCCTGGCACCACGTGCGCACACAGAACCTCCTCACGGTCACCGCCCAAGAGGTGTTCAAGGGTGAGCGTCCTTTGCCCGTGATCTTACGACCTCGAGTTCCCCGCTTTTGCAGAGACCTTTGGCACCTGGCACGCGCTCGCCTGGCCACATCACTGAGCCCTTGGACAGCACTGGCGCTTCAACTCTGCCTTTGACTGCGGCCTGATCATCGACGGGACCCAGCTCCTTGCCATCACCGTGAACTATCACTAGACCCTGACCACCCACTGCATTCTGCACAATGACGACTAGCCACTCATCCTCCTGGTGCAGGACCTATGTGGTATGTCACAAGTGCTCCAATTGGATCTGGCAAGACAAACTTCGACCAGATACACGATGCCGCAAATGTGGTACTTGGTGGCCTACTCCAAGAACAGGCATAGGCAAGGGCAAGGGTCAAGGACGACCTCATCGACCAAATGACAGTTGGCGCCAGAGTCACAATGACCTCCTCGACAAGCGACCAGGACTTTCGAGACTCAAGCCACTCAAGAAAAGTATGCCCAATCAGTCAGCCAATGACCTCTTGACCAGCACATGGGAAGTCATACCGCCGGATGTCCAGACAAAGCTGCAGACTCTGGGCTTTGGACCGCCACCACAAGAAGAACCAGGACTTGAAGCTATCCTTCAGACACATCTCAGGGAGCTTCCACAGGCTGTACAGGATGTTGTCAACAAGATGCAGCAGCCCATCCCTGACACGGAAAAAGCCCTGGCTCAGAAGCTGAAGACACAAGTGACTGAGCTCAAGACGATCTCCATGAAGAAAGCACAACTACAGACTCGTCTTGACCAGGTCAAAAGCCAATATGCCAGCGTGCTTCAGGACATGCAAGAGCATCAGGCGAAGCTCACAGAAGGCCAGAAGAAGCTCAAGACCTTGTCTGAGCAGATATGCAGGCGGTCAACAAAACCCCGCCACCACCAGATTTGGAAGTGAATGATCCCGAACTTCCCATCCCCATGGCAGAGCTTGGGCGTCGAATTGACAGCTGAGCAGCGCCACCAGCTCCACGGCCTTCTCAGGCGGCCAGGAACTGATGTCGAAGATCCAAACAAGCGCAGGAAAACAGATGCACCCATTCTGCCGTCAGGAGGGGAGTGTGGGTAACACTGCTCACAAACCACTCACCAGTTTCCCGGGTGTCGAGGTGCCAATACCATGGGAAGAAATTGATTGGGCACCAGAACATGAGAACATGGGGATTGCCGCGCTGCCTCAAACCCAGCGTATGGGGACACACAGGTGACACAATGTGCAGGGGAACAGACACATTCACACCTGTTTCAATACTCTCAAGCGCAGCTTTTTTTGGGGGACTTCTCAACCAAGAGTACCAGGGACAAGACTCTTGCCAATGAGAATACACACAAGCCTGACCCGCACAGGTCTGACAGTTTTGTTGATTTCACCTTACCGGACTCGGAGCATGGACCGCTGCTGGGCGCACCTGGACCAGACGTGGTGAGCATTCAAGGAGGCGGCAAGAAGACCTCAACGGCAGTGTCCACAGCCAAACACACCGGCAAAATGGACCCGTCATATGCCTCCACCACCGAATGCATCCTCCAGAACCTCACCATGTCTGTGGGAAACCCCAGCGCACGGTGTTTTGCCAATGCTCCATGGAGGGCATTCACCTGGACCTGCGCCTTGCTGCAGGAAACCAACACACAACCCTGGGGCAATCTCAAGGAAGCTGTTCAAGAATCCTTGGAGCTTGCGGAGTCGGTGGACATACAACAACTCCCAGGATTGAAGCCGATGTGGAAGAAACATGACCTCAACATCGAAGGAGATGCCAACCACTTTGTCAACACTTTGTGGAATGTTTCACAGTCCAGAGCTTTCCACTACAGGTTTGCCGAGATCCAATCGGGTGGGTATCTCACAGACCACATCCAGCAACCCATCCTGGTTCCTTTTCCTGATGACTGGCCCGAAGCCACAAGCCTGCAGGACCTCTTCAATGGATGGGCGAACACTGGCCTTGGCCAATACCTTATGGATGACAAGCCAGTGTTGGTGAGCCACATCACCAGGAACACCATGGTGGACAGCACGCCCACCAAGCACAGCAAGATCCTGAACACCTATGGCACCTTCACTGCGCCACGCTCGTTAGGTGGTTTTGCCAGAACCTCCTCGGAGTTTGCGCCGGCTGCATTGATCTGTCACAGAGGACCGAGTCA